GAACTCACTATATAGTCCAGGCTGACCACTAGCACCACCGCCGTCTGGCCAGTATGCATGATCTTAATGCTACCCATTTGTGTTGTTTAAAGTGACCAATACGGTCAATTTTATGTGCTTTTTGTTGTCTGCAATGCTTGCTTGAGCCCAGGGGACTCTGCACGCTAGCCCAGTGTGCTGCCATGGAGATAGCACTTGTCCACACTGGCATTAGACCTCTAAGTCTTTACTAGACCCTAGGTGTATTTTTTTAATTGATTTTTATTGAGCTCTACATTTTTCTCTGCTCTTCTCCCTGCCTCTTTCCTCCCCTTCAACCCTCGCCCAAGGTCCCCATGCTCCCAATTTACTCAGAAGATCTTGTCTTTTCCCTAGGTGTATTTTTAACATGTATTTATTATTTGTGTGCATGTCTGAACATAGGTGTGGAGGTCAGCAGACAACCTTCAGGACTCAGTTCTCTCCTTCCAACATGTGAACTCCAGATGTCATGATCAAGTTGTCAGGGTTAATGACTTTGTGTGCTGAGTCATCTCCTGCACCCTGATATATATATATCATGTGTGTGTGTGTGTGTGTGTGTGTGTGTGTGTGTGTGTGTGTGTATGTATTTAAAGCAATTAAGTTGGGCATGGTTGCCCACATCTTTGATACCAGTGCTAGGGAGACAGAGGCAAGTGGGTCTCTGTGAGTTTGAGGCCAGCTTGGTCTACAGTGAGTTCCAGGCCAGCCAGAGCTACAAAGTTCCAAGCTTATACCTGCCCAAAAGGATATATACGTGTGTGTGTGTGTGTGTGTGTGTGTGTGTGGTGTGTGCGCACTTGTATGTAAACTAAAGTTATTTTTTTTTTAATTTTTTCCCCCCAAGACAGGGTTCTCTGTGAAACAGTCCTGGCTGTCCTGGAACTAGCTCTGGTAGTAGACCAGGCTGGCCTTGAACTCACAGAGATACACCTCCCAAGTGTTGGGATTAAAGGCACGTGCCACCACAGCCCAGCTTGTTTGCTTGTTTCTATGTATCGTTTTAAGACAGGGTTTATGTATCCCTACTGGGCTGGAATTAAATAAAATTTAGCTACAACAAGGACCAAGTGCCGTCTCTGCTTCTCCTTCGGTGTTCCGGTGGAGAATTGCAGGCCACTCCCTAATCACAGATTTTTCCATTGTTCACCAGTCCCTTTGGAGTCCTGGCTGCTGAGCTGGAATTCTTTATCCTCCCAGGGAAGCTGGATCGCTTCAGACACCTTGCAGAAGCGTTTTCGCGAGAATCTTCCTCTTTTTTTCTATAAAAGCTGATTTTTCTGTGTCATTGCAGCTTTGCACTCAGCCAACAGACAGCGCAGCCCACGCTCTGGGGGCTGACCGAGTCCCCGCAGCGCCCCGCGGCTCCCCGCGGTCCTCACCGGGACACGTGGCAGCCTTTCTCAGGCCTGCACACCGAAGAAGTCCCCCTGGTGGACGCTTCGGGTTGGAACTCGCGGGGGCCACTCTTCCAATCTGAGCCCTATCAGCGCCGACCGCTGGCGTCAGCCTGCAAGTAAGGAAAAAGAAAGCCGTGGGAGGGAAGCTGCGTCCACGACCTGGCGCAGCTTTCACACCATTGCCTCCACGGAAGTCCTTCCTTTGCCTTCTGAAAGTATTAGGCTATTTCCAGGCATAAACTGTGGGGCTGAGGCCTCAGATGCTCGAGTCCTATGGTCTTAGTCTATCTGATGTTTCTCCAAATCTTTACTGAGTCCCTCCGAGGCAGAATAGAAAGACGGGAAAATCATCTTGATGTAGGAAATGAAAAGAGTCCCTAACTGAAGCCTCAACCTCTAGACTTTCAACACAACTAGCATTTTTCTGTGAAGATGGCCAGCAAAGGCAGATGGATCTCTGTGAGTTCCAGGACAGTCAGGGCTGTTACACAGAGAAACCCTGTCAGGAAAAAAAAAATTAAATATCAATGAACTATCCTTAAAGTCTGATATACACTGTCTTTACGTTGACAACCATGACAGGGAATGTTAATTGTGTTTAGACTCCCGATGCTGGGACTTCAACCAGGCTCAGGAAAGGTGTTCCCATCTACCTGGGTCCCAAGGCTTCAAACACTTCGCTCTGCAGCCCCTTTATCTACCCCCACTGCTGTGCAACACCCCTCCCCCCCCATGTCCCTTCCTCCTCCTTCAGCTGCTGTCAAACTCCCAGGGTGCTCACCTTCCATCCAGCCATTACACACCTGTTATCTTGGGCCTTGGATTCTCCATCTAAAATGGCTGCTTCTCTCCAGACTTGAGTCCCTAGCCTGATATTAGGACTTTCTCTAATAGGTCTTCCTGCTGGCGCATTCTTATCTGCAACTCCAGGGTCTCCCCTGGCCAACAACCCTATCTCCTCTGTGATCAAGCAGGTCCCCTACTGCTTAGGTTACCTTTCTATTGCGGTGTTGAAATACCCTGAGGATAGGGAGATAAAGGCAGAAGGGTTAGTGGTGACTCACAGTTCCAGGTTACAAGCCCACCTAAGGGGAGGGAGGGGTCAGTCCAGACAATGGCCCTCCCAGTTAGGGTAGGTCTTCTCACCTCTATTAACTAAATCCAGATAATCCCTCCCAGGTATGCCTAGAGCTTGTTGCTGCCTATTCTAGATTCTGTCAAATTGGAGTTCAATCATCATACCTTATTGTAACCTTCCTGTTACAATGGGCATCTGACAGTGTGTGTGTGTGTGTGTGTGTGTGTGTGTGTGTGTGCATGCCATGGTAAACATGTGGAAGTCAAAGATCAACTTGTGGAGGGTCAGTTCTCTCCTTCCACAGTGTGGGGATTGGATCCATAACATCAGGCTCTAGAACAAGTGGAGAGCAATTTTTTTTTTTTTTTTTTTTTTTTTTGGTTTTTCGAGACAGGGTTTCTCTGTGGTTTTGGAGCCTGTCCTGGAACTAGCTCTTGTAGAGCAGGCTGGTCTCGAACTCACAGAGATCCGCCTGCCTCTGCCTCCCGAGTGCTGGGATTAAAGGCGTGCGCCACCACCGCCCAGCTAGTGGAGAGCAATCTTGTTGGCCCTAAATTTTATTTATGAGTATGAGAATTTTACTTGCATGTATGTTTATGTGCCACATACATTTTTGGTGCCCAAAGAGGCTAGAAAAGGATCCCCTGGAACTGGGGTTACAACAGTTGTTAGCTGCCACTTGGGTGCTGGGGATTAAATCTGGGTCCTCTGGAAGAGCAGTTAGGGCTCTTAGACATCTCTGCAGTTACCCAAACTGTGACTTTTAAAATTTGTCAGTTAAGGTCTTTCTTTGGTGACCTCCCTTGTCAGTCCAGTCTCTACTCACCCCACCCATGCATTTCCTGTGCTCAGCCCTCTTGCCTCAGCCCGGGCTGCATACAGATGTGAAGTGGCCTGTACTCGGCTGAGGATTGCACATTCAAGGCTGCAGGAGCCGCCATAGAGAAGCAAACAGCTCCCTAGAGCTCTCCTGTTGTAGGATAATCTTTGGGTACTCTGTGAAGACGTGCCTCAATTCTACCTCATCTGTACCTCATCTGCCTAAGGCACCTTCTGAAGCGCTGAGCAGCCAGTAGATGGGCAGGAGAGGATAGGCAGGTAGGAACTCTGGGAAGAAACCAAAGAAGGCAGGATTCACCAGACAGACTAAGAGGAAGTAGGACACACTGTGCTGGGGAGAGGTAATGAGCCCTGTAGTAGAACGTAAATTATATAAATGGGTTTTTTGTTTTTTGTTTGTTTTGCTTTGTTTTGATGTGGGGTTTTTGTTTTTTGGGTTTTTTGTTTTGTTTTGTTTTGTTTTTTTGTTTTTTTTGGTTTGGTTTTGGGTTTTTGAGACAGGGTTTCTCTGTATAACAGCTCTTGCTGTTCTGGAACTTCTTTTGTAGACCAGGCTGGCCCCAAACTCACAGAGATCTGCCTCCCAAGTGCTGGGATTCCAGGGGTGCACCACCACCATCACCACGCAGCTTAATTTAAGTTTTATGAGCTAGTTAGGAACAAACCTAAGCTAAGGCCAATAATTCATACTTAATAAGAAGGCTCTGTGTTTCATGACTCAAGAGCTGGCAGTCCAAAGAAAGCCCTGTTACACTCCCCTCTGGCCTTTCGGTAAATTGCTTCCTGTTTGCATCCGCATAAAGGCCACCTCTAAGTACCTCACCCTTGCCAGTGCCACAACTTGTCCATCTCCGAAGCCACTTCATCAACCTTTCTCACTAGCCTTGGAGGCAGCAGTTATGTCCTGTTCCCTAGCATGCACTTCACAGATGGAGCAGGCTTTCAAACATTCCTTTAAAAAGTGGGTTGTGGGGGGCTGGAGAGATGGCTGAGTGGTTAAGAGCACTGACTGCTCTTCCAGAGGACCAGGGTTCAATTCCCAGCACCCACATGGCAGCTCACAACTGTCTGAAGATCCAGTTGCAGGGGATCTGACACCTTCACACCCATGCACATAAAATAAAATTAAATAAAGCATAAAAATATTTTTAAAAAAAGTGGGTTGTGATCTGGGCGGTGGTGGTGCACGCCTTTAATCCCAGCACTCAGGAAGCAGAGGCAGGAGGATCTCTGTGAGTTTGAGGCCAGACTGGTATACAAGAGCTAGTTCCAGGACAGGCTCCGAAGCTACAGTGAAACCCTGTCTCAAAAATAAAATAAAATAAAAGTGGGTTGTGTTGGGCCTGGCCTGGTGACCCATGCCTTCAATCCCAGCACTCAGGAGGTAGAGGTAGGCCAACAGGTGGATTCAAGGCCAACTTCGTCTACACAGTGAGTTCCAGGTCAGCCAGGGCTGCATAGTAAGACCCTCTCTTAAATGTGTGTGTATGTGTGTGTGTGTGTGTGTGTGTGTGTGTATAGATAGACAGATAGGTAGGTAGGTAGGTAGATAGATAGATAGATAGATAGATAGATAGATAGATATCACGTTAAATTTGGAAAGAAAAAACAATTAGCATCCCTTGGACAGGTTTATTGAAACTGAGGTTGTCCTGCAGCCAAATTGTTTCCAGCACAGGCTGAATGACATCTTTCCAATTGCAAGGCCCTTCATCAAACCAGGACAGATAAACACCCATGCCTTCTGCGGGCAATTCAGCACTTAGCAGCCTTGAATAGGCTCTGCTGCTGGACGGTTCAGGCTCTCTGGAACGTTTGTTTGCACACCTGGCCTTCGCAGAACATTTCCTGTGAGAGGAAGGGGAAGAAGAAGAAAGTTGATGGATATTCTCAGCATGTTTGACACCAAATGGGGTTTTGCCTCCCGACACCACATGTAGGGTCTTCTCTGCCCTAACTTCTTCACTCTAACACAAAACGGGTGTCAACAATTTAATCTGATCTCTCCTGGTGTTAGTGTAAACCCACAAACAAAGGCACAGTTTTGTACTTTTTTTGAGACAGGGTCTCTATATAGCCCTGGCTGTCCTGGAACTCATTACATAAACCAGACTGGTCTCAAATGCACAAAGATCTGCTGACCTCTGCTTCCCAAGTGCTGGTATTCAAGGCTCTTGGTGCCATATCTAACACCAGTTTTATTCTTTCTAAAAGCAGAATTTTATACCTTCTAGATTGTGTTTTAGAGCTGTTGATTAGTTTGAGTTATACGCTGCAGTCAGGAAGTTCTGATTGTGAAACAAATCAATGCTTCCTCTGTGAGGAGGCCTTAAAGAAGCAACCGAGTGAGCTGTGCCCGGGCCTCTCAAGGGAACAAGACGCACCAGGGACCTGAGCTTTATTCATCGTAGAGACCACCCTGAGACACTATTATTTTGGGGATTTCATATCATTCAAGCTAATCTCCAACTTGTTCTGTAGCTGAAGATGACTTTGAACTTCTGAAGCTCCTGCGGCCATCTCCCAATTGCCACGCTTACAGATGCGGGCTCCAATTTGGGATTTCCCACGTGCCGAGCGTGTACTCCGCCAGCTGAGCTACACCACCAGAACCTGCAACGGTATTCTTTAATATTCAATCAAGGATGTGTTTCATTAAAATGTCACTCCCTCAGTCAAATGGACCACGAAACAGCCAGCTCGCCGCCTTAATATATGATTTTAAAAATACATGGTGAGCCGGGCGATAATGGCGCACGCCTTTAATCCCAGCACTCGGGAGGCAGAGGTAAGCGGATCTCTGTGAGTTCGAGACCAGCCTGGTCTACAGAGCTAGTTCCAGGACAGGCTCCAAAACCACAGAGAAACCCTGTCTCAAAAAACCAAAAAAAAAAAAAAAAAAAAAAATACATGGTGAATTCAGCTGAGAGTGGCACCAGACACCTTTAATCCTGGCAGTCGGAAGGCAGAGGCAGGTGGATTGCTGAGTTTGTGACCAGCCTGGTCTACAGAGTGAGTTCCAGGACAGCCAGATCTGCTAAACAAAGAAACCTTGCCTGTCTTTTTGTTTTGTTTTGTTTTTGAGACAGGGTTTCCCTGTAGCTTTGGAGCCTGTCCTGGGCCTATCCCGGAACTAGCTCTTGTAGACCAGGTTGGCATTGAACTCACAGAGATCCACGTGCCTCTGCCTCCTGAGTGCTGGGATTAAAGGCTTGTGCCACCACCGCCTGGCTGAGAAACCCTGTCTTGAAAAACAAACAAACAAACAATCTCTTTTTATTTCAAAATTACACATTTTAGAAGAATGTGCATTTTAGACAGGTAATAGTGGCACATACCTTTAATCCCAGCACTTGGGAGACAGAGACAGGTGGATCTATCTGAGTTTGAGGCCAGCCTGGTCTACATAGTGAATTCCAGGATAGCCAGAGCTACACAGAGAGACCCTGTCTCAAAACAAAACAAAACAAAACAAAGAAATAAAGTAAAAAATATAAATACACAGTGAATTCAAGAGAAAAACTATCTAGAAAGCTATACAACATTCTTTTTTTAATATTTACTTTTATTTTTCAGTTATGTGTGTGTCTGTATGGGGGTATTGCTCGCGAGTGCTGTTACCATCAGAGACCAGAAGGGGAGGTTGGATCCCCTAGAGCTGGAGGTAGAAGGAGTGGTGCTGGGAGTCAGGTCCAGGTTCCTGCAAGAGCAGCACCTTCTCGTTTGCTGATGCCATCTCCAGTCCCAGGAAAAGGTTCTTTTGGTTTTGGTTTTTCAAGACAGGGTCTCTCTGTGTAACAGCCCTAGCTGTCCTGGAACTCACTCTGTACACCAGGCTGGTCTTGAACTTACAGAGATCCACCTGTCTCCTGAGTGCTGGGATTAAAGGTATATGCCACCACCATCTGGCATAAGTTCTTATTTTTATGTGCATGGGTGTTTTGTCTGCATTTACATCTGTGCACACATGCCTAAAGAGCCAGAGGAGGCCACAGAAGAGGCATTAGATCCCCTGGGACTTAAGTTCTAAACAGTGGTGGCCCACAGTGTGGCAGCTAGGAATTGAGTGGAGGTCTTCTGGAAGAGCAGCCAGTGCTCTCAGTGCTCTTAATCATAGAGCCATGGCTCCAGTCACAGAAAATGTTCTTCAGTCAGGCAACGGTGGCACACCTTTAATCTCAGCTCTCAGGAGGCAGAGGCAGAGGCAGGCAGATATCTGTGAGTTCGAGGCCAGCCTGGTTGACAGATCAAGTTCCAGGACAGCCAACGCTACACTGAGAAACCCTGTCTCGAAAAACAAAACAAAAAATTATTTGTTTATGTAAATGAGAGTTTGCATGTATGCCCATGACAGAAGAGGGTACCAAACAGAACATGGCATTAGATCCCACTATAGATGGTTTTGAGCTAACTTGTGGTTGCCGGGAATTGAACTCAGGACCTCTGGAAGAGCAGTCAGTGCTCTTAACCACTAAGCTATCTCTCCAGTCTCCAGAAAATGTTGCAATATTGAATAAAAAGGCAGACCATCCTGAGCAGGACATGAAGGTAACTTGCAAAAGTAAAAGTTAAAACAATGATCGAGAAGGGTAGGGCGACTGTCCATGGCTAATGTGTTGTTCAGCCCTTATCAGAGCGGCTTCCTCTAGCAGAAAATGGTGATGAACTGACTGAGACCCACAACGGGACAACAGACAGGCAGTGGGAGACCTCAGCGCACTCAGCACTGAATGAGATGCCTTAGGACGTCCCTGGAGGCTCAGGGATCTATGCCACAGGGCAGAAAGACTGTGAGAGCCGGAGGTGGTGGGTGACTCCAAGGAGACAGCATCTCCCAGATACAACTCACAGAGACTGACAGCATGCAAAGGACCTACATAGGTCCGGACAAAATCTAACCAGGGAGAAAAAAATGGCCAAAGTCCCTCCCCTAGCCACGAACCTATTTGTGATTGATACCTTCTTGAGAGAGGGAAACCAGTTTTCTCCAATGGTACTGGGTATTATTGGCCACACTCCAGGGGCTGACCTCATGCTCAGGGAAAGTGGGTCAATGCAAACTAGACTCTAAGTTTTGTTGTTGTTATGGTTTGGTCTTTCTTCCTTCCTTCCTTCCTTCCTTCCTTCCTTTCTTTCTTTCTTTTTTTCTTTCTTTCTTTCTTTCTTTCATCCTGTCTTTCTCTTTTGGGTTTATTTTGGTTTCCGAGAAAGAACATGGAATCAGGTAGTTAGGGAGACAGGATAGTCTGGGAAGATTTGGGTAAGGACAAAGAATGTGATCAAAATATACTGCTATGACAACAATTTTTTTAAAATAGTAAAAACATGTAATTGAGAATCAGAAAAAGGGGATGGCAAAATGGCACAGAGGCTGACAGTTCTTGCAAAGGACCAGGGTGCAGCTCCCTGAACCCACACTGGGCAGCTCGCAACCACCAGTACCTCCAGTTTCAAGGGGATCCAGTGCCCTCTTTTGGTCTCTGCACACACTGCATGCATGTGGTGCACACACAGGTGCAGGTATACATTCACACGAATGAAAATAGAGAAATAGAGATTTGGGCTGGAGAGGTGGCTCAGAGGTTAAGCGCACTGGCTGCTCTTTCAGAGGTCCTGAGTTCAATTCCCAGAAACTACGTGGTGGCTCACAACCATCTATGAGATCTGGTGCCCTCTTCTGGTGGGCAGGCACACATGCAGTACAGAACATTGTATACATAATCAACAATAAATAAATTAAAATAAAATAAAATAAAATAAATAGAGATTTAAAACTCTCCCCTCCCCGCCAAAAATGGATTTTAAAGAACAAAATGTGGTCTGCACACAAGTGAGTTTGTCGTTCTCCCAGGTAACCAAGCTCTGCATGAAGGAAGAGAGAAAACAACACCTTGTTCTGGCAGGACCCCTAATATCATCAGGTAGGATGCATGCCGAGCTAACCTTGTGAAACTGATAGATAGCTTATGCTACATTTCAAAATTTTTTATTTTGTGTGTGTGTGTGTGTGTGTCTGTGTTGCCTACATGTATGCATATATATTGTGTGCATGCCTGGTGCTCACAGATGTCAGAAGAGGGCATCCCTGGAATTGGAGTTGTAGGAGGATGTAAGCAGCTATGTGGGTGCTGGGAATTGGACCCCAGGTTCTTTACAAGAGCAACAAGTTCTTTTAACTGCTGAGCTGTCTCTCCAGCCCCACGTCTATGTTATTTTCTTTTCTAGCACCATAGGGTGCTTGAAATCTTAGCCGGCTTTCATGCATGCTAAGTGAAAGCCCGACCTCTTAGTCACGCCCTACTGCCTTACCGTGCATCTTCTGTTATCCAGGCCTTTGTTATCTTCCTCAAATTCTTCTCCAACTTTGAACTTAACAAGATAATTCCTTAGACTGCTGTATGTGTGGATGGTAAAGGAATCCCCATTTTGTTCAATCACCTTCTGTGGCTTCAATAACTTGGCGATCTTACGAGTCGCAAAGTCGATACCTAGAAAGTTATTGTTCTTATTATATTTTTATCTTAATATTTTACATTTATTTATGTATGTATGTGTAAGTCAGAGGACAATTTGTTTTAAAACAGGATCTTACATAACCGTGCTGTCTTTGAACTTGGTGCAAAGTTGAAGGTGACATTGAACTCCTGATTCTCTTACCTCTACCTCCAAGTATTGGATTATAGGTGTGTACCATCATGCTTGACTCAAGAGATTTTTTTTTCTTGTGGATTTTTTTTGAGACAGGGTTTCTTTGTGTAACAACATTGGCAGTCCTGGAACTTAAACTCACAGAGTTCCAGCTGCCTCTGCTTCTCAAGTGTTGGGATTAAAGGTGTGAGCCACTACACTCAGTGACTTAAGAACATTTTTGTAAATGTTATCTATTTATTTCATGTGTATGTGTGACACCCGCCTGCATGTCTGTACACCATGGAGTACCCACAGAGGCCAGATGAAGGTGTCGGATTCCCTGTAACAGGGCAACTGGGAACCAAACCTGGGTCTCTTGGAAAAGCAGCTAGTAAGGGCCCTTAACTGAGCCATCTCTCTAGTCCCTCAAGAGGACTTTTTAAAAAATTGCTTTTACTGGGGTGTTGAATTCTGTTCTATTTACTGGAAGGCAAAAGGAAGAGTTTGTCAAGTAGCAAGTGTACCAAGGTATGGTAGCTTAGACCTGTAATCCCTATACTTGGAAGACTGAGACAGGAGGATTTCCTGGACCAGCCTTGTCTACATAGTGAGGTCCAGACCAGCTCGACCTAAAAGGGAGACCTTGTCTTAATATAGATAAACAAAACCCCAAACAAATAACTCCCAGAACAAGCCTGCCAAGGCAACGATGGTACTCCGCTTATAATAACAGGGGCTGCCAAATCCATAAAAATCAGAGCAAGCTGAACAGACTCAGTTTGCAGGGCAGCAACATACCGAGAGTCTTTTGGGAAGCAGGGACAGTGACAAGACCCTGTTGAAATACGGAGCGGTGGGCTGTGTCCCGCCACCCGGCTAGCTTTACCCGAAATAATTACACGGAAACTGTATTCTTTTAAACACTGCCGGACCCATTAGTTTCAGTTTCTTATTGGCTAGCTTTTACATATTGATCTAACCCATTTCTATTAATCTGTGTAGCCCAAGAGCTGGCTTACCAGGAATGATCTTAACCTGCGTCTGTCTGGAGTGGGAGAATCATGGCGACTCCCTGAATCAGCTTCTTTCTCCCAGCATTCCGTTCTGTTTACTCTGCCTACCTAAGGGTTGGCCTATCAAATGGGTCTAGGCAGTTTCTTTATTAATAAGAAATCACTCCCACATCATTTCCCCTTTTTCTGTTTAAACAAAAAAGAAAGGCTTTAACTTTAACATAGTAAAATTACATATAGCAAAACAGTTATCAAGCAAGAATTACAGTTACAATATTTATATCTATTTTATCTTTTATCATAACTAAGGAAAACTATAACTATCTATTCATTCTTCAACTCCATCAAAGACTCCAGAAGGATATAATACTACCTAAGTAAACAAGAAATAAGAAAACTCTAGAAATGACAGAGACATCTTGCTGCCTGGACAGTCACCCAAAGTTCTTTTGTATGGTTGGGGCATCCATCTTCAGCCTTCAGGCCCATAGTATCCAGCAGACATTTCCATGAAGCAGAAAATTTCAAAGACAGTTCAGTCACTATCTGCTGTGTTCTGCAGAATGTCTCGCAGACTTTTTCATGAGTCATGAACCCCAAAAGACCGTCTCACCTTTAGGCAAGTTCAGCAGTCCTCTCTCTGCGGGTTCTCTGTGTCCATTTTATGCAACAGTCCAGGCAAGAGCAGTTTCTTGTCCAAATGGCTATCCAACTCCATAAGGATTCTCTTCGATGCCCATCTTCCCTCGAAGTAGATTGGTGCCACCAGGAGCAGATATGTCTCATTGTCATGAAAAGTCCTAAGTTATTAAAACATTAAATGCCATATTCTGCAGTCTTTGAAAGATATGAAGAATGTCTATCTAACTGAAATGTATCTCTATATATCTAGAAAATCTAACTAACATGACTACAAGATTGACTATTATTGATGATTAACCATTAACCTATATTTCTTAATTATACATTACATTTTTAAATGAACTACACAATCACAATACCTTAATCAAGATCAGAAATACATATACATATAACAAAATTGACTGTAAAATCTACACCAATGCAAATCACTCATACCTATATCATTTCCCCCTTTAAATGTAAAAGAACATTTACAAACAATATTTTGGGAACATGGGCGCAGTTTTTTCTCTCCAAACTGCTTCCTGCTGAATGGGGGCGCTGTTAATCAGATCATTTAGGGTGTAACCTGTGTGCCAGGTTTATCTCAGTTGCCAGTTGAGTGAAGTAATTTTTTGAGGGTGTTCACAGGAACTTTTCGGGAGGTCGTGGTCTATCATACCATATCGGGATAGATGCAATCCATAGGGTCTGGTCCTCTGTGAAAACAAAAGAAGACCCTTTCCAAAGCATCATATCCTTAGACCCAAATTTTGAAGTCATACCCTCACGATATCCGTTTTGGTTCCACTTGGCAGCCCATAGAATGAAATGTCTCTCTGTACTTAGCTCCTTTACAGTCAAAAATTTTAAAGAAAGCACAATGTACATAATCCAGACTCTCTGTGAATTTTCCATTTTTACGTGGCTTATTTTTTTTTATTTCTTTTAATCTCTTAACTATCTGTACTCTGTCTCTTTAAAGACTTTACCTTTTTTTTTAAACCATATTTTTTTTAAACTTTATTTTTTATATTCTTTTTCTTCTCTCTCTCAAGCCTACGTACATTCATCCAACAGTGTGGTATTTTATGTATGAATCTGTTTTATTGTGAATCTCTAACATTTTTTTACTATCCAGGAGCATTTATTAAAATGTTAAGCAGTTCTTAAAAACTTAAGTTGCACCATGTACAGGTAATACGGTACTGTCTGTTTACTGCCAAGTCTAAACCTTAACTGTGCTGTTATTATGGTAATTACGGCAGTTCCTGCCTGAGGTCAGCACAGTTCAGCATGGAGCAGCTGCTCCTGCCTCAGATCCATTGGTGCCCCTGAGCTGAGCACAGTTCCAGGCACACAGCAAGTCCACATTGGAGCCACATTAAGCAGTTTAATTTTGAGACTGAGCGTGCAGCACAGAAACTCTTTTTATCTAAGTTACAGCCAAATCTGAAACGCAGAACACTGCACAGTCTGAAAACACGTCATGCCCTTCCACCTGCCTAAGCCTGATTCGGCAGTCTGCCCAGGCATGGTCTCAGAACATTCTCCTTCCTATCCCAAGCGGGAACATAAACATTCAGTCCCATAAAAGCTGTTGAAATGCTTTAAAGCCAGAGTTTGCACTGGCGGCACAGTCCTAGGAAGCCGCACTTTAAAATGACGCAGCTTTTTTTTTTTTTCTGCTGCTGTTGCCGAATCAGGAAATCTCTCTACAGCACGCCACCAACAAACAGCCAAAAGCTGTGTTAAACTCTGTTTTCGTCTCTGATTAAAATTAAGCTCTCTCAGGTTTTACGTGGAGTTCATTAGCACGTTGGGCGCCACTCTGTTGAAATACGGAGCGGTGGGCTGTGTCCCGCCACCCGGCTAGCTTTACCCGAAATAATTACACGGAAACTGTATTCTTTTAAACACTGCCGGACCCATTAGTTTCAGTTTCTTATTGGCTAGCTTTTACATATTGATCTAACCCATTTCTATTAATCTGTGTAGCCCAAGAGCTGGCTTACCAGGAATGATCTTAACCTGCGTCTGTCTGGAGTGGGAGAATCATGGCGACTCCCTGAATCAGCTTCTTTCTCCCAGCATTCCGTTCTGTTTACTCTGCCTACCTAAGGGTTGGCCTATCAAATGGGTCTAGGCAGTTTCTTTATTAATAAGAAATCACTCCCACATCAAGACCCCCTCTTGTGGACCCATGCACCCCACTGGTGGCCACAGAACAGGGTCCAGGACTCAGTTTTCCCACCGCATGCATAGGCAGCCCAGGCTGACTCTACCGGCTTGCTCATCTGCAGGAGTCTGCAGGCCCTGCTCTGGCAGGGGAACTGAATTCCCAAGGAGATTGTAGCTGCTGTCTGTCTGGTTCAGAGCCCTGGCCGGTCCCGACAGTCCCCACACAGAATTGGATAGACCGGAATACAGGCACATCTGGGACTCGACAGACGCAGAGGGGCATGCAGAAACCAGACTCGGGTGGGCAGGGACGATTGGCTGTCAGACAAGACAAGGGGGACAGAGCAAAGAGGATAGACAGAGGGCTGAAGATGGGTGCGGGGAGTCAGGGACAAGGACAGGACTAAGCAACATAACCCAACCGAGAGCATAACTCACGGGAGACACGAGGACCTGGAACAGACAAGACAGGACAGATGGCCTTCGCTCAACCCCGAGACCCAAAGCTAGAGTCTTTCTCCCCTCCATTATCCCCTTTGCTGCACAACCCTCTGGTCCTACCCAGGGCCAGCATGTAGCCCTCGAAGTTGTCACTGCTGAGAAGGTTCCAGGTGCCGCTGAGGTCCGCTGGCATGGTGGGGGGTCGGCAGCCAAAGCCTGAAAGTCAGGGGACAATGCTGCCCTTATATTGTCATTGGGGTGGGAACGGGGGCCAGGGTGGAGCAGAGGGAACAGCAAGCCTGGTCAGTGAAGCTGGGGTGGAGGTTGGGAAGCCCTGGAAGCAGCCTCTGGCTGCCTCTCCTAGCTTCCTTCCCCACCCGCTTCTGGTTCTGTCCCTGCTCCTGTCACACACTACCTTGGCAACCCCTGTTTCCTTTGGACTCCCTCCTGTCATTCAACTCTAAACACCTGTGACCCCAGCGAGTGTCCCAGGTCACCCTTTATTCCATGGCCTGGATGTTAATGACTAAAGGAAGGGCTTCAGACTCAGCACGAAGTACGGTGCTAACCACAAATAACAGTACATGCATGAGCCCAAGGCCACTCACAGGTCTCCCAGAAAATAGAAATTTTTACCTTGCTCGAGTTTAAAAAAATTATTTTTGTTTATGTGCATATGTCTACGTGGGTGTATATCACATGTGTGCTGGTTCCAGGAGAGGGTAGATCCCCAAGAGATGGAGTTAGAGGCAGTCTGCAGCCTCACCCACCCCCACCCCACCCCATGGATGCTGGGGACCAAATTCAGATCCTCTGAAAGAGTAGCCAGTGCTCTTGGGGATGTGATGCCTATCTAGTGCCTGCCTTGTTTTTGAGCAAGGGATTCGTGTAGCTCAGGTGGGCTCCTAACTCACTATGTAGGCCAAAGATGGCCTTGTGAGTTCATGATTCAGCTGCCTCTGCTGGATTACAGGTGTGCAACACACCCGGTTTATATGCTTGGGCTTTAACACAGAACTTCATGGGTAAAAGCCAACTGAGTCACATCCCAGCTTCTTACCCAGTATTTCTGTGACCACTAGATTCCTAGGTGACACAGAATGGACGTCTGCAATCCTGGGGACTTTTTACTTCTGGTTTTGACTTCACTGTCATGACTTGGATTTCAGATGTCAGCCAGGTGGAGAAGACTAGGAAATGTCACACACTGTTATTCCCTCAACAGAAACTTCTTTAGCACAGTTCCAGTTACTGCTCATCTGCACAACATGTCAATTACTACTGCTAACTGCATGGAGCCTGGGAAATGTAGTCTTCAGGATGTAGTCTCTACAGTAGAGTGAGGCAGAGGAGGAGAGAGGAGAAGAATGGACTAGCTAATAGTATCAGCCATAGTCAGCATCCATATACACTGTCTCCAAGACTTAGAGCCATGCTCATTCCTGTAATCCCAGAACTTTGGAGGTAGGGGCAGGAGAAACAAATCTAAGGCCATGCTCAGCTACATAATAAGTTTGAAGCCAGCCTGGATTGTATGAGATCCTGATTTACAAAGACGAAATATAAAGTGGGGGAGGGTTTAGAGAGGTTAAAAGCACTTACTGCTTTTCAGAGTCAAGTCCCCAGCACCCTCGTGGCTCACAGCCAACTGCACCTCCAGATCATTCATAACACCTGTTCCAGGGGATCAGAGGCTGTGCCTTCTAGATTCTGGGGCGCCAGGAATTCATGTGGGACACATACATATAAGCAAGCAAAACACTCATACATATAAAATAAACCTTTAAAAATTTTTTAAAAAAGAAGTGAATTCCAGACCATAGGTAAAGGGCTTGGTGTGTGAGCAGAAGCCTGTTCTATGTGGTGAGGTTCCAGGCCAATGACAATCATGTCTCAAACAAAAGGTGGAAAGCGGGAAAGCGCCTGAGGACTGACATTCGGGGTTGTTTTCTGGCCTCCACGAGCAAACTGTACACACACACACACACACACACACACTCCATGACATATGCTTGAAGATCAGAGGACACCTTGTGGGACTTAGGTCTCTGCTTCTGCTGTGTGGGTCCCAGGGACCAAAGTCAGGTCACCAGATTGGCCACAAGCACTCTCTGAGCCATCTTGGGACCCCCGAGGTTTTATCTTTGAATGGAGTCTCTGTCATTCCCAATGGTGCTATTTTGGTTTCTCCATTTATGGCTTTTATGTTTTAAAGAACTTTAATGGAAAAGTACTTGGCTTTCTTTAAAACCTCTGACAGTCACTTTCTCAGTGGAACATTCAAATACATTTGTAAGTCTTTGAAAACTATTATTTAGCTGGGTGTGTAGGCAGATGCCTAATGGAGGCAGATACTGGAGGGGTTTGTGAGTTCAAGGCCAGCCTGGTCCACAGAGTGAGTTCCAGGACATCCAGGGCTGTCACACAGAAAAACATGTATATAATTTAGTGTGGATATTTGTGGGTTAACGATATATCTGCACACCATGTGTGTACAGTGCCTTCAGAGGCTAGAAGAGGGTGTCAGACCCTGGAAGTGGAATTACAGGTGATTGTGAGTCACCATGTAGATTCTGGAAACCAAACTCAGGTCCTCTAGAAGAGCAGCCTTAATCTTAACCTCTGAGTCATCTCCAGCCCCGTGGATAGGCTTTATCTCCATCCATCCATCCATCCATCCATCCATCCATCTGTAGGATTTTCTTTTGAGACAGGGTCTCACTATGCAGTCTTGCATTCACTATGCAGAGCAGCCTGGCCTTTAATTCACAGAGGTCTGCCTGCCTTTGCCTCGTAAGTACTGCAAGTAAAGGCATGTGCCACCATATCTGGCCACAGAGATACTTCTTAATATCCATTTCACCTGCATCACAGCCCTGCTTGAGGTGTTCATATGTCTCCCACTCCAAGATTTTTGCATGATGGGTAATCTTGAGGATCAACGTGGTTGGGCTGAGAAGTGTGCCTAGGAGATCAGTAAAGCACACTGCATGGGCGAGGGTTCCCAGAGAGCTGCCCTGGATGTGGGTGACATGATCCCATAGGTTATAGGAGGCTACAGGATGAAAAGAAGTCAGAGGGGAGCTACCGGGACAGGAAGTCTCTCTTTGCTTCCTGGCAATCAAGATTTGGACACATGCTCTGCCTTGCCCTCCCCATTTTGATTTGAAACCCCAAATACTATCAGCCAAAAAGAAACCCCCACTTCTTTAAATTGTTCCTCACAGGCGTTTGGCCACAGAAATGAAAAGGTGACTAGTACTTGCCTCTGTTTCCCTTGTTGGCTGGCTGCCTTTTTCCTTGCAAGCAGAGACTGTGTTCACGTTATTCACAACTAGTGTCCCCAGGCCTTGTGCTTCTGCTCGATAAACACTTGAATGAATGAATGCATGCATGAATGAATGTGACCTTTTCCAGGGTGGGAGCAACTTTCCCAGAAAGGGCTGTTGACGCTCTTCCATCAGTTGGCTTAGGCATACCTTGAGCAAAACCGTGAACTCTGCCCAGACTTCTGGAGTGTGAAACAGGACATGAACAGAACAGCACCTACTTCCTATCCTTAACCGTTTTATTGTTCCAGAGCCTGACCTAAGGTTGTATCTAATAATACTCTTAGCCTCTGTGCTAGTTGCTATGGCTTTGGGCCAGTTTGAGCAAAGGTCACCTGTTCTACCCAGGATGGAGCTGCGCTGAAGGGGACAGAGATTTGACTGTTCATAGGTTCCAGAATCACGTTTCTCCTGTTCAGTTCCAGGAGATTCACTCTAGGAAGGACCAGAAAGTATTGCTGGAAAGGGAAGAAAATCAAAGAAGGAAGGTATTTGCCTCCGTACCCCGGGCTTAAGGCTGGGGGCTCAACCCTAAACTGTGGACAAGATGAGGCTCTGGACCTGCGCGTAGACCCCTCCTCGATGGAAACTGGACGGGAATGGATGAGGACACTTGGAGTGGGGACTGTTATTTGATGGAATTATATATTCTCCTCCCTACTGTCAGGAAATAATACCACCGAGGGAGTGTCTTCCATTCTGGGGATAGACCCAAATTAGTTTAAGGTTAACCCAATCACCGCAAGCTTCTCTCCTTTGCCAAGGACTGGCTTTAAGGATATGAAACTTCCAACAAATTTGAAGTACGCAGTGACTTGTGACGGCTGCTGGGAAAGATGTCTGATTTGAACGACTTTTCCCCACATCTGAGCTCGGGCAGGCAGCTGGCTTGTTTTCTGGGCCAGGAGCACCGCACCTTCCAGCTCCAGGGGAGCAGAACTAGGACACTGTGACTGGCAGGGACCGCGATGACTCTGGTGAGTCACTCGCACGAGCCCTGCATCCTGTCCTACATCTGCGCTTCTGAACACAAAGGTCTTTATTGTTTAGGCCACTTGGGGGTTGAGCTTCCTACAGTGGACAAATCTGACAGAACATAATGTCGAGGTATTTTCTCCCCCAGCAACTCTCTTGCCTTTGGTCACCTATGTGACCAGGGGGACATTCTGATTCAATGCCAGTGCGTGGATCCACCGTTTTTGAGTGTCTGTGTTGAACAAAATGCTACTTCATAAATACTGTTCTCTCAACAGCAGTATTGTGGCTGGAAACACATGAATTCTGTTTTGGGGACTCTGCCACTTTGAGCGGTACCCCTGTAAAGTTTGTTGGTTGTGGCAAAGTTTGGACCCTAAAAAACCTACATGGACAGCTAGGGACCAAAACAAGGGGCACTGAGCCCCTCAGCCTTGCTTGGCCACACCACTAAGGAAAGTCATCATGTGGATCATTTCTATCTGCTGCGTTCCCATGAAGCCGGCTCTTCCTCACAGCACAGGGCCAGAGATAGATGGCTTCTCTTGTGCACTTTTTATTTTGGAGCATTTTATGGTGGCCAGACCAGATTCAATGAAATCTATCCTCCAGCGAATCATCTTATATTGGAGACAAGGTGTCAAAGAGCCCGGGCTGGCCTTAAACCACTAATCCTCCTGAGTACTGGACTTCTAAGCATGTGCCACCACATCTGGCTACCTTCTTGTAAACGTTGTGTTCAATGTATTACTGTTGACTACAGGTACGATATTCTACAGGGACTCTAGATCTTTTTAATTGCACTATAAGATGTTGGAAGGGTATGTGTGCGTGTGAGCTTGTGTGAGCACATGCACACTCAGACAGCATCTAGATGACTTTGTCAGATCTCCTGGAACTGCAGTTACAGGCACTGTGCTGCTAGAAACTGAACTCAGGTCCTCAGCAAGTGCTCTAACCACCGAGTCACTTCTCCATTCTCAGATTTGTTTGTTTTTGGTTTTTGAGACAGGGTTTTCTCTGTGGGACAGTCCTGGCTGTCCTGGAATTTGTTCTGTAGACCAGGCTGCACCCAAATTCACAGAGATCCGCCTGCCTCTGCCTCCCAAGCGCTGGGATGAAAGGTGTGCGCCGCCACCCGGTCTCCCTTTTCCCTTAAAGGAAGGCACAGCAACTGTAAATTCCAGAGCTGGAGAGATGGCTCCGTGGTTAAGAGCAATGACCGCTCTTCCAGGGGACCCAGGTTCAATTCCCAGCACCCACATGGCAGCGCACAATCACCTGTAACTCTGGGAGATCCAATACCTTCTTGTTCTTCTCAGGCACAACTGGTGCACAGATACACATGCAGGCAAAACACCCACACACATAAAATATAAATTAAAAAAAATTGTAATTCCCATCATCCGGAGAGGAAGTTCTGGTCTTGAGGACATGTCTGCCTTTAGCAGAGCTATTCCCAAAAGCCAAGTATCAGGTTCTGTGCCGGAAGTTCACTCACAGTGTAATTCGGGGATCCCTGGGAGGGTCCCCGCAAGCCTTGCCCATGGGGTCCGAGGTGATCATAAGGTAGTAGGGTTTCAACACTTCCAAACGGGAGACACTAAGGTCTAAGGTAAGGTTACAGCAGTAACCCGTACAGCTCACGGCACACGAGATGAACTGTGTGTGCTCTGCCAGCGTCAAGTCTGATGGCTCTGCTGACTACTGTTACTGCTCAGTGCTGTCTCAACTCTTTAGGATCCTTATCTTGTCTCTACCGATTGAGATCTGGCCATCCACACAGTCAGCCAGCAGGTACTAATGCTGTGGGTGCCAGACTTTTCATCTCTGACAGCTATTGGATGGCTTTAGTAAGATGAGTAAACATTTCTCCCTTCCTGACGTCAGATTTGGATCTGACAACTGCACAATTACTTTTTCCTTCTGTGGAAGTACAAAATCTTCCTCAAGAGAGGTGAGCATCAAACACGAATTTTGAGGGAAATTTAGGCTACTTGGGAGACAGGCAGGCAGATCTCTGTGAGCCCTGGGCCAGCCTGGACTGCTTATGGAGATTTCCCATCTCAAAAATTTAAAAGGGGCCAGGCGGTGGTGGTGCACGCCTTTAATCCCAGCACTCGGGAGGGAGAGGTAGATGGATCTCTGGGAGTTCGAGGCCAGCCTGGTCTACAAGAGCTAGTTCCGGGACAGGCACTAAAGCTACAGAGAAACCCTGTCTCAAAAAACCAAAAAAAATAAATAAAAAAATAAAAAAAAATTTAAAAGGGGAAATTATCTTTTTTTTTTTTTTCCTGTAGCTTTGGGGCCTGTCCTACAACTAGCTCTTGTAGACCAGGCTGGCCTCAAACTTACAGAGATCCACCTGGCTCTGCCTCCCAAGTGCTGGGATTAAAGGTGTGCACCACCACCACTGCCTAGCTCAGGTGAACTTGAACTCCTGATTATCCAGTCTCCATCAAGTGAGTGCTGGGATTATGAGTGTGTCCCACCATGTCCAGTTGAGAAGTTTAACTTTACCCCTGTACCAATTGCAAGACCACTTTCATAAAAGTCCACACTGACCCAGTACCACCCCCTCCTCTGGTGGCTGCTAAAAACAGGACCATCACATGTGTGCCTGATACCTAGTGAGGTTCCCAGAGACACCGACTCAGAGACACCCTGGGTGAAGTCAGTGAGGACCAGTAGGAGCCAAGATGAGGCTTTTCTACCATGTGGTGTTTGCCACACTGGCTGCTTCTCCATTAAATTCTCACATTGATTTGACTGCGGGGAAAGATCTCCAGGGCTCATTCTAGAACCCCCTAACAATGTCAGAAGCCCGTGGGGCAGATTTCTGGGGGCTACCATGCACAGTACACACAGAACCCTGCCAACTGCAGGGCTGGATCCTAGGGAAGGAGGACCTGAGAAGACAATGGCCCACAGTCCTTGGTGCCCATCATCCCCACCCAGTTGAGCCCATGACTCAGGGCCAACCTGACCCTGAAGACCACACCAGGCACTGACTATGTTTTCCAGGAGAAAATCCTAACTGAAAAAAACAAAAAATGGGGCAAATTCCTGTAAAATTTCAATCAGTAACAAATCATGTAATAACTTTGTGTTTTAACAAAAAGCTATGATCTCAGTTATTGGGTCAGAGAAACAGCTCCAGAAAAATGATGAGGCAATGGACCCTTCCTCAGCAGGTGCAGGATATGCAGATTCACACGGCTGGCACAGAGACCACAGGGCTCTTCAGAAACTGACAGCTTCAGGTGGAGCAGCAGTCACTGGCTCCAAGGTCGAGGCAGGGAGGGCTGCTGGGGCTGACCCAGTCCACTCCTCATGTTCTTAGGAGCTTCACTCATCTTTTAATTATAAAATTATAGATAGGGGCTGGAGAGAGGGTTCAGTGGTTAAGAGCACTGCTGCTCTTCCAGAGGACCCAGGTTCAATTCCCAGCAACCACACAGCAGCTCACAACTGTCTGTAATTCTAGTGCCAGGGGACCCAACACCTTCACACTGACACAGACGTGGGCAAAACAACAATGTCTATTAAATATAAATACATTTTATAAAATTATAAATAAAGGTGAAGAGGACAGTGGTGGTGATGCTTTTAATCCCAGCACTTGGGAGGTAGAGGCAGGCGGGTCTCTGAGAGTTCAAGGCCAGCCTGGTCTACAGAGTTCCGGGACAGTCAGGGCTACACAGAGAAATCTTGTCTTGGGGGAGAAAAAGAAAGAAACCCACAGAGAACGGCTGGTTAAAATATGAATGCTCTTCACCTTCATTTATTTGTTGTTTTTTGGGACAGGATTTCTCTACGGAGCCTCCCAAGTGCTGGGATTAAAGGCGTGCATCACCACTGCCCAGCTCTTTGAGATTTTCTTTTTTTTTTATTTATTTTTTTATTTTTTCTTTGAAATTTTCTTAAAGGCACTGAGACATTGTCTTTGAAGCTGTCCCCAGAGTTAAAAAGAACGGTGAAGAGTCAGCAACGAAGGTTTGCTAAGACGACATTTGAAGCAGAGCCTGTCCCCACCCCCGCCTCCAAGCAGCTACACACAGGCAAAGCTTCACCAGCTTGGCTTTATTTCTCTCGTGCAGGTCAGCTACTGTTTAGGAATGGGTCTCTATTGCTACTGTGTGGGTCCTGGGGCTTGAACTCAGGTTGAAAGACTTGGCAGCAGGTACCTTTGTCCACTGCACCATCTCGCCCGTGGAGCAAGGAAAACTGTGGTATAGTCTGACTTCTTCAGGGTGTACTCACAACCTTCATTTTGCAGAGCTAGAGGACCACTGGTCACAGGTCATTTTACAGAATCACTTATTTTATTTATATAGAGACAGGGTCTCCAGCATCCCTTGATGGTCTCAAACTTGCAGGCTGTCCAGGATGATGCTGAACATTTGCTCCTTCTGCTTGTCCTCAAGCACCTGAATCACAGGTGTGCACTGCCATGCCTAGCTATGTGGTAATTTAACCCAGGGCCTCAGGCCTGCTGTGCAAGTGCTCTACCAACTGAGCTACAGCCCCAGCCAAGGTATGTTTTAAAGAATCCCTTCCTCTGTCTATCCTGGATTAAGATGGCTGGCACCAAGCACAAACCGCATGTCAGGTCTCTTCATAGTTAAAGCTAGGATTTTGTTTTGTTTCTTAGGTTTTTTTTTTTTAATATTTATTTATTTATTATGTATACAATATTCTGAAGGCCAGAAGAGGGCGCCAGACCTCTTTACAGATGGTTGTGAGCCACCATGTGGTTGCTGGGAATTGAACTCAGGACCTTTGGAAGAGCAGGCAATGCTCTTAACCACTGAGCCATCTCTCCAGCCCTGTTTTGTTTCTTAGGAAGGGTCTGTGTTGTCTAGAGTCATCTCAAACTCCTGGGTTCAAAGTGATCTCATATGTCAGCCCCTAGAACAGCCGGGGTCTCAGGTGTGCATCACTGACCTGGCTGAAGTGAAGCTTTTCTTCCTTCTTCTGTGTGGGTGTTCTCGTGCATGTATGTCTGTGCAGCACGTGTGTGCCTGGAGCCCACGGAGGCCAGAGAGGACATCAGATCTCTCGAATCTGGAGTTACAGCCAGTTGGGAGCTGCCGTGTGGGTCCCCTGGAAGAGCATGGCATGCTCTTCACCTCTGGGCCATCTCTCCAGACCCTACAGGGAGGCTTGTGAATGGATTTGCTTTCACATCTGCTTCTCTTGTGTGGTAGAGCCGTGGGGTCTGTTCTTAGTAAACTTAGAGTAAACATGACTGAGATTTCATTTCAGTGAATCAGCTGTTATTTTAAAGAGGAATTATTCTTTTTCTAGAGACCTTATCTAAAACACTGATCTCAGCAACTGATCTGAATTTCCTGTTAGTTTTTAATCAAACCTTTAAACTTCTGTTTATGAAACAGGATGGCAATTCCTTCCCTGAGTTACTAATACTGGGTTGTTTTGAATCTCCACAAGAGCATGTGACGTCAAGCAGAGCTTCATGCTGTGGAACTGTTGTGCTTAGCCTCGGCAATGTTCCTCTGCAGAGGAGCCAGAATGACCCCGGCATTCCTGTCCTCACTCTCGGAGCTGTATAGATCATGCTTTTCTATGTACTCTTGGACAAGGTCCGGCACCAAGTAGCGGATGCTCTGGCCCCTTCTGAGAGCTCTCCGGATCTTAGTGGATGAGATGTCATTGGTGATCCATTCATCCACCAGGTGGATGTTGCTCTGGTATCTCCACAGCACATCAGACTCATAGATGAATTTCTGAGCATCACTGCCAGCCCGCGTGATACATATGAGCCCATAGTTGGCTACAATTTGCGTGATGTCCTCGATCTTCCACAAGTTGGGCACACTAAAGGATTCCAGTAAATCTGCCCCACACAGCAATTTCACCCTGGGTACACCTTGAAGAGAAAACCAGAGCTTCAGGGTTTCTTGTCTCTCTCTCTATTTTCCCCCAAGACAGAGTTTCTCTGTGTAACAGTCCTGGCTGTCCTGGAACTCACTCTGTAGACCAGACTGGCCTCCAACCCAGAGATCTATGTGCCTCTGCTCCTGAGTGCTGGGGTTAAAGGCAGTGCCACCACCTGACAGGTTTGTTTTCTTAATAAACACCCATACTGAAGTGCTCGTGCCTGTGCGTGTGAGAAGCAGATCTGCTGCCTTCTACTCCATCCTTCCCGACCATCAGAATCCAGCAGCTATGGAGTAAAATAAAACTACCCAGGGAGTTTTATCTACTCTACTGTGGAGTCTGAGCAATGGCTGGATCCTGATAAGACCCCACGAACCTGTTGGTTTGGACTCTTGGGGCTTCTTTGGACTAGAATCCTGTTTTTGTTCATCCCACTTCCTCTTCCGCCCAGGCCTGTCCAGCGAAGGTGAACTTTGTGGGTGACCACAGCTGCCAGTTGCCAGTTTCTCCTGATGGTGTCTACAAGATGACAAAACAAAAGAATGTTCTTTGGGGGCTGGAGAGATGGCTCAGTGGTTAAGAGGACTGGCTGCTCTTCCAGAGGACCCAGGTTCAATTCCCAGCACCCACATAGTGGCTCACAACTGTCCAGTTCCAAGGGATCGTACACCCTTATACAAACATACACGTACACAAAACACCAATGTACATTAAATAAAGAAAAAATAAAAAAAAAACATTCCTTGAAGTCAGCGTGTTCTCTGAAGCACTCTTGTGTGAGTGCTGCGACAGGAGAGTTAGTGGTTATTCCTCTTCACAACCGTCTGACCCCATCTCCTCAACTCCTCATGTAGTGATGGAGAGGAAGATGAAGACTGAAGAGATGCAGGTCTGCCGGGAAGTGGTGGCACACGCCTTTAATCCCAGCACTCAGGAGACAGAAACAGGCGGATTTTTGTGAGTTCGAGGCCAGCCTGGTCTACAGAGCAAGTTCCAGGACAGGCTCCAAAGCTACACAGAGAAACCCTGTCTCAAAAAACCAAAACCCCCAAAACAGCAGCAACAATAGCAACAGCAACAACAACAATAACAACAAAAAGAGTTGCAGGTCCATCTCTCCAGCCCAGAGATGGCTCAGTGGTTAAGAGCACTAGCTATTCTTCCAGAGGACATGGGTTCAAATCCCAGCATCCATATGGCGGCTCACAACTGTCTATAGTTTCAATTTCAGGGTATTTGACACCCTCACACAGACATCAAGGCAGGTAAAACACCAATGCATGTAAAATAAAAATAAATCATTAAAAAAAAAAAGAGCTGCAGTCCGTGCAGTCCGCTTGGAGCAGAGTTCCTGACACTGACCGAGAACAGGCGCTACCATCAGCCCCACTGAGAGAGGAGCTAGTTACACTGCCCAGTCTTTTAGCTTTTGCTCAGCAGAACTGGGATTTGAGTGTAGCGCTCTGGACTAGAGCCTGCACCTTTGCCCACTAAAGACCACGGCCCGATCTTGTAGTGAAGAAGAACAGGGCAAGCACAGGGACTGGGAGGGGCAAGTGCCTGAGGCCGGCAAAGGAAGCAGCACTGCAGGAGCCAGGGCTGGCAGCAGGGGCAAAGCTATCCCCACAGTATGGCCCACACCTCTAGAACCAACAGTGGGCAACCCTCCACGCCCTTAACCCCGCCCCAGACTAACAGTCACACTGAACATGTAAGAGACACCAGTTACCACGGGGCCAGAGAGGGATGAGTGGGGCTGAAACAAGAGCACGGTCCCCAAGGAGAGGTTTTACCATTAGCAGGGAGACCACTTTGATGGAGGAAGGTCATTGGTTAAATAAAAAGAAACTGCTTGGCTCTCATTGGTTAGAGATAGGTGGGAGGAGTAAACAGAACAGAACGCTGGGAGGAAGAGGAAGTGAGCTCAGACTCCACAGGTCTCCTCTCGGGAGCAGACGCCTCAGAGAGATGCCATGCTCCGCTCTCCCAGGCAGACGCATGCCATGAAGCTCCTACCCAGGATGGACATAGGCTAGAATCTTCCCAGTAAGACCGGTGCTCACAGATTATATTAGAGATGGGTTGATTGGGATATCAGAATTAGCCAGTAAGGGCTAGAGCTAAAGGGCCAAGCAGTGTTTAAATGAATACAGTTTCTGTGTTGTTATTTCAGGCATAAGCCAAGCAGGCGGCTGGGGTGCTGGGAATGCAGCCCCGCCCGCCCCTATTTACAACACCGCTTTCCTGTCAATGCTGAAAAGGAAGCCCCAACACATCCAGGTAGCTTTTACCTTCTGGCTCAATGCCCCACCCTAACACCAGCCCATGCTCCTCATGGAAACTTCCAGTGTGGCTGAGCTTCTGTGGATGAGACCGATGCCACTGTCACACCGCGGCATCTTCCAGGACCCACAGAGGTCCTGCTCTGCAGCCCCCAGTCTCTAACATGTGGATCTCAATGAGCAAGGACACTGCATCCAAAGTGCCCAGAAGGGTTTCTGTGGCCTTCTCTGACCTTATTCAGCCAGTCTGAAGGAGTGAGAATCCTAAGAACAGGCATTAGACAAAAGTTTTCCAGAAATCCCCTTAACTCTCTCTCAAGACTATTAGAGACATCACTTCCTTCACTGGGCTGGTTTCAAAGGTCTGAGCACGGAGGTCTGGAGAGCCTCCTGTGTGCTCCAGGAAGCACCACACAAGGTTGGGCTGGATCCTGGGCAAGCAATGCCCGACACTCCTCCTTATTAAAAATGATAAGCCAGGCCATGGTGGCATACACCTTTAATCTCTGCACTCAGGAGGCAGAGGCAGGCGGATTTCTGTGAGTTTGAGGTCAGCCTGGTCTACAGAGATAATTCCAGGACAGCTAAGGCTGTTGCACAGAGAAACTCTGTCTCAAAAAACCAAAACAAACATAAAGCAAGCAAACACAAAAACAGAGAGAGGGAGAAAGAGAGAGAGAGAGCGCGCTGCTGTGAGAGGGATGTGGGCAGAGGAGCGTCTTCAGAACATCCAGCACACTTCCCTGAGCAAATCCCGAGAACAAAGCAAAGCTCATACATTTCTAAGTTTGGGGATGGCTGGCAGGAAGTTTCCCTGATCTGGTCTAATTGAACATGGTGACGACGAGCACAAAGAGCCAGTGTCCTAAGTGGAGAACTGTCAGGTCACGTTTCAGATGGCTTCTGAGTGAACCCTCTCCCAGAGACGGCTGCAGGGAGGGAGTCTTGACTTCATGTCTTCGGGCTGTGAACCCTGGCCTTTTGAAATAACTACTGTCTTGGAGAGGTAGGCCACGCTCCAACCTCCCCTTTAAGCCATCTCCTTCCCTCTTCCACAGCTAAGAAGACAGATGACTACAATACCCTGAGGAATTCTGTCTTTCTCCCTTCAGGCAGGAAGGCCAGGCTGGCTTCCTTTACTCTCTGACAGAGATATCTCTGAGGAACAAACATGTCAATATCTCACCCATGCTGAAAGACATGCAGGTGTGCCCATGTTCTGCTGCTGTGCTCTGCAGCCTGGGGTAACTTGCAGCCTTGGTGTGGTGAAAAAGAATGGCCCCCACAGGCTCGTACATCTAAATGCTTAGTCACTAGGGCCTGGCACTATTTGAAAGGATTGGAAAGGTTAGAAGGTGGGGTCTTGTTGGAAGTATAAGTATGTCACTGTGGTGATGGGGGATGGCCTTCTGTGTATGTGCTTTTTTTTTTTTTCTTCTTCGAGACAGGGTTTCTCTGAAGCTTTGGAGCCTGTCCTGGAACTAGCTCTGTAGACCACACTGGCCTCAAACTCCCAGAGATCTGCCTGCCTCTGCCTCCTGAGTGCTGGGATTAAAGGCATGTGCCACCACCACCTAGTTTCATGTGCTGCTTTTATTGATTAATGAATAAAGCTGTTTCAGCCTATGGCAGGGCAGAATATAGCCAGGAGGGAAAAGATATATTTAGAGAGAGTAGGCGCAGTCAGAGAGACTTCATGTAGCTGCTGAAGGAGACAGACTCCTGGAACTTTACCTGGTATGCCACACACAGAATAATAGACATGGGTTAATTTAAGATATAAGAGTTAGCGTGGAATATGTCTAAGCTATTAGCCAAATGGTGTTGTAATTAATATATATCTGTGTGATTATTCAGGGCTGGGTGGCCAGAAAAAGAACGTGCAGTCTCCTCTGCCTACACTGTGGGTGGGCTTTGAGGTTTCAAAAGCCTGTATGCCAAGGCCTGACTCTCTCTTGGCCTGCTGATTAGAATGTAGCTCTCAGCTACACTTAGGCAGGCACAACATGTGCTGCTGTGCTCCCTGCCAGGACGATAATGGACCAAACCTCTGAAACTGTAAGCCAGCCCCCAATTAAACGCTTCCTCTTACAAGCACAGCCTTGGTCAGGGTGTCTCTTCACAGCAACAGAACACTAAGACGCTTAGTGACACCTCACAGACCTGACAACCAGAAGCAGGCAGAACTGCAAACACGGCAACAGGAGCGTCCAGTCCCCTCTCCCTTCCCCAGAACCAATGACGTGGACTGTAGCGGGGTTACCTGAGCACCTTCACAGTCTCCACCCACTCCTTCTGAAGACTTTCCCACGTGTCCACTTCCACCCAGTGGGAATTCTTGGTGGCAAGTTCTGCCATGATAACTCGGTGGTGGGCAGGGATGAGGCCTTTCTTCCTGTACGCATCGCCAACAGGTGAAATTATACCTTTGATAACTCTGTATTTTCCTGGATAAAGAGTTGGCTTGATATTAGGGATAACAAATCAGATTTAGTGGACAGGAAGTATGATTGATGTTATTTTATAGTTATAATCCCCCCTTTTTTAAACAAAGAGTCAAATTAGTAGCTAACTGAAACTGTGGTAAGACTCTGGCAAGATGGCTCAATGGGTCAAGGGGTATGCCGTCAGGACTGATGGTCTGAGTTCAATCCCCAGGACACTCATGGTGAGAGGCGAGAACTGACGTCTCCAACTGACCTGTGTAGCATGCCTCACACAACACCTGCACATGCAAAGAAACACATTTTTAAAAGTTATCATTTACAGGATTTTAAGTGTGCAATTCTGTAGTGTTGAGCACACACATGCACACTGTACACAACCTCCACCTTCTCCAACTAAAGCCCTACACCCCTTACACACGCATTCTGGGTTCGCTGACATGACTTATATTTAGAGTTCTTGTTGGTCAGAATTCCAACCAGAATTGAACTCCCTTGTTAAAAAGCCTGACTCAATTTGCCTGTTCACCTAGACCAGAGGCAGGGATCTGTCTCTCCTCACTTAGGTGCTTGACCACATCTAACAAGAACTTTCTGGAGAGTGTCTGCCCAGCCCTGCCCCTTCTTATGCTAGTCATGCCCCACCACCCTTCAAGGTCTCACTGTGCAGTCATGGCTGCCCTGGAACTTGCTATACATATAGACCAGGCTGGTCTGACTCACAGAGATCCACCTGCCTCAGACTTGCAAGTGCTGAGAGCTCCACCATGCTCGGCCTGGCCTTATTCACATACATACTTTACAACATGTACTTTTCCTGCTGAGCTACCTCTGCTGGCCCTGTGAGGACCTGACCTTGCAAACTCCATTTTAAAGAAGGGGCTTCATCTTAAGCCATATAATGAGCTGGGGGGAGGAGAGCAGATCTCAGTTCCAGAAATGTGCTGTAATAGCAGAAATCTGAACAGATGCCCTAAAAATGGCCAATTAAGAAGATAGGGAGCAGGGCCATAAAATTTAACGAGATCCAGATGTTCTTGGGAGGCATCCTATCCTTGAACATACCTTGTCAGTAATTTATGGCTCTTTGTTAGGTTTTCATGCCCCAAAACTGACCAATGGGTTCTTACCCTTACCCTATGTATTCCTCACCCAATCCCAAGACGATAGAACTGAACTCCCTGGACTGTGGTATTTTTCCTTCCCCGGGTTCGGGGCTACACTTCCCTCACCCACTGTGTTGATGTGGTGGAAGTGGAGTCCAAACTTGAGTTGAAATAATATTAAAAACCCTCATGTAATTTGCATCGGAAATCTGGCTCTGTATATGCATTTGGGAAGCAGAAACTTGTGCATAACAGTCCCATTGACTTTTTTGGCTAATTCTCTACGCCAGGAAACATAGGAACACACTGTGTCCAGGGTCAGGTATCACACTGAATAGTTAAATGCGTTGCTAGTCTTTTTTTTTTTTTTTTTTTTTTTAAGAGACAGTTTCTCTGTGTAGCCTTGGCTGAAACTCAGTCTGTAGATTGGCTGCAAACTCACAGAGATCTACCTGCCTCTGCCTCCCGAGTTCTGGGGTTAAAGGCGTGAGCCCGCCCTACTTCATCTATAGTCTTTTTTATTTTTAAATTCATTTTTTTCACATTTTATTTTATTTTAAAGACTTATTTATTTATTATGTATCCAGTGTTCTACCTGCATGTATGTCTGCAGGCCAGAAGAGGGCCTCAGATCTCACTACAGATGGTTGTGAGCCACCATGTGGTTGCAGGGAACTGAACTCAGGACCTCTGGAAGACCTCTGAGCCATCGCTCCAGCCCCGTCTCTAGTCATAAGCTACCTGTTGCATTCATGTAGTCCTTGCCCAGCTCAAACAGCCTGAGGTGCATGTTGGTGATGGGATTGAAAGAGCCACAGGCCAGAAGAACCACATCGGTCTTCTCAGACGTGTCCATGGCGACAAGTTGTAGCTGCCGATCTAAATGGAGACCTCTGACACCATTGCTGTCGTCTACAAAGGAGAAAGGAAACAAGCTCGTTTATAGATCTCTTGACATCCGCCATGTTCTCCCTGCAAACAGGGCAAATAGTCAACTTCACTGATGGGGATGAACTGCAGAACTGGCTTTACTTTCTGACCTCTGTCTATATAAGCGTGCAGTTCCTACCAAGTGGAATGGGATTAACTCTATTCCTTATAATTCACTTTGCCCAAAAGAATACAGCAGAAGAGGGCATGTTAACTGAGCCTAGCACTGAGGCCATTATATCACAGAGTAACACATAATAACATGCATGTCCCTAATTTCAGAATGTGGGAGAAGGACACAGGAGGAGACAGAGACAAAGTCTCATAGCCCAGGCTGGCTTAAAACTGGCTATGTAGTGGAGGATAACTTTGAACTCCTGATCCTCTTGCTTTCATGTTCCAAGTGCTGGGATCACAAATATGGCGTCATAACTAAGGGTTAGGTACATTTTATTTTTATTTATTTATTTATTTATTTTTTTGGTTTTTTCGAGACAGGGTTTCTCTGTGGCTTTGGAGCCTGTCCTGGAACTAGCTCTGTAGACCAGGCTGGTCTCGAACTCACAGAGATCCCCCTGCCTCTGCCTCCCGAGTGCTGGGATTAAAGGTGTGCGCCACCATCGCCCGGCGGTTAGGTACATTTTAAAGAGATTCCATAGGCCTAAGAACATAGCACCAGCGTACTGGTTGCTATCACATGGTGGAGAAAGAGAAAGTGGACAAGCCCTGTGTAGACAGGGCCAAGCCTATGCTGTGAAACAAAGTGTGATGGGGAAACTCTGTTAACCAATCACCTTTAAGAAGTGGAGCCTCTTAAGGCGTGGCTACCTGGAGCCCAGGAAGAAAACTGGGACGGACCAGGTGCTCTCTTTGGGTGACTCCTGCCAGAAAACAGAGGAACTCTGACTTCCCATTCTTGTGGTGTGAGTTTCCCCTTATAACAATTAAAAATATAATTTTAAGCTGGTCTGGTTATTTCCTGAATCAAGCCAAATTCAACAAAGGTGCACACCTTTAATCCCAGCATTCAGGAGGCAGAGGCAGGTGGATCTCTGAGGTTGAGGCCAGCCTGGCCTATAGAGTGAGTTCTAGGACAGTCACAGCTACACAAAGAGACCCTGCCTCAAAAAAGACAAAGAAACAAAAGAACAAAACCCTACTCTCCTGAGAACCAAGTCAGCCTCTCGACCTCCTTGTTTTCCACCAGGCACCTGTCCTGAAGGCACCGCCTCAGCACGGCCACACCGGATAGACACCACGGCACCACCTCAGCACGGCCATACCGGACACCACGGCACCGCCTCAGCACGGCCACACCGGACACCAGGCACCGCCTCAGCACGGCCACACCGGACACCACGGCACCACCTCAGCACGGCCACACTGGACACCACGGCACCGCCTCAGCACGGCCACACCGGACACCACGGCACCACCTCAGCACGCCACACCGGACACCACGGCACCGCCTCAGCACGGCCACACCGGACACCAGGCACCGCCTCAGCACGGCCACACCGGATAGACACCATGGCACCGCCTCAGCACGGCCATACCGGACACCACGGCACCACCTCAGCACGGCCATACCGGACACCACGGCACCGCCTCAGCACGGCCACACCGGACACCACGGCACCGCCTCAGCACGGCCACACTGGACACTAAGCTTTCCACATTTCCACACACGGGCTTCTGAGGAAACAGTCAGACAACACCTAAACTGTAGCAGAGATGTCCCTGTCTTCCTCAGCTGCCCCTACCATGGAAACTAGCCCACGCTAGGCTGCTATGGGATGACAGCCGTGCCCGCCCCCCCCAGCCCTGCTGGTAAGACAGCTGACCTCTCAATATGTGACTGCAGCCATCAGAGGCCAGCTAAGCCACAGCCAAGATGACCATTCCCACAGCAAGCCCAGGTGACACCAGAAGCACGTGATCAGCAAACCCACAGGTGGTCCTGTGTCACAAGAAATGAATATTTACTGATGGATGACGTCACAAGGCTTTGTAATGGAGACAATCTTTTTTTTTTTTTTTGGTTTTTCGAGACAGGGTTTCTCTGTATCTTTTTTGGTGTCTGTCCTGGAACTAGCTCTTGTAGACCTGTAGACCAGGCTGGCCTCAACCTCCCAGAGATCCGCCTGCCTCTGCCTCCCGAGTGCTGAGATTAAAGGCGTGTGCCACCACTGCCCGGCTAGAGAGACAATCTTCTTAAAGTAATGCACAGGGCTAAGTGACAGAACACTTGCCTAACATATAGGAGGTGTCCAATTCCCTGCATAGCAAGCAAACAAACAAGCAAACAAACAAACAAGCAAGCAAACAAAAAAGGTAATTTATAGCTGGGAGGTGGTGCACATCTTTAATCCCAGCACTGGGAGGCAGAGGCAGGTGGATCTCTATGAGTTCGATGCCAGCCTGGTCTGCAAGAGCTAGTTCCAGAACAGTTAGGACTGTTACACAGAGAAACCCTATCTCGAAAAACAAAACAAACAAAACAACACAAAAGTAATTTATATAGCTCTTGAAGAAAGAAGAGAAACAATGAAGTAGTCGGTGGGAATGCAGATGAGCATGCCCGAGGCCCTCAAACCAAACAGCCCCTGAGCTCCAGCTGCTTGGGTGGGTGGATGGGGTGAGGCAGGGGTCTGAGAGGAGCCTGAACAAGAGACCAAGACCTCACCTCAAAAAAAACTTTCCAATCCCTCCCACCCTGTTCAAAAACAAACAAACAGACAAAATAACACCACAACTCAGGGGCTAGGAGACGGCTCAGTAAGTAAAGTGCTTGTCAGTCACGCAAACATGAGGACCTGAATTTGACCTCTGGAATCACATAAAAAAGACAGATACAGACAGGAGGGTGTCAAGGGATCTCTGGCTAGCCAGTCTCTCCAAACCAGTAAATTCCAGGTTCACTAAGAGACCCTGACTTAGAAGAAGATGGAGAGGGATTAAGAAGAAGCTGACACTGACCTCTGACTTCTACATGCATGCATATACACTTCCGCTCGCTCGCATGCAGATGGGCATTAGGTTGGCGGTGCGCACCTACCCCAGTCCTAGAGGAGGAGTCAGCTAGTCTAGTTCAACCAACAGGCTTTAACTTCTGTGTGAGACCCCATTTCAAAAGTTAAGATGAACAGCTATTGAGGATGACATCAGATACTGACCCGGGCTCCCACATGCACACACATATATATATACATATATACATACATATATATACATGTGCACTTTCACACACACACATACCAACCAACCAATAAAACCAAACTACAAAAGACACAGGGAAACTGTTAAGCGTGGACAGAAAATTAAGAAGAGTCCCTGATGGTCAGTATGCTGTTCAATGAGTTAAGGGCTGGGACAGTAGCTCAGCAATCCAGTGCTTGCCCCACAAGCAGGTGCAGGATGCCCTAGGGACAATCCCCAGGAGTGTTCCCTCCACCTTCCAAAACAAGAAAAAGAGTGAGTTAAAACAGTTAGGATAGCTGGGCGGTGGTGGCACATGCCTTTAATCCCAGCACTTGGGAGGCAGAGGCAGGTGGATCTCTGTGAGTTTGAGGCCAGCCTGGTCTACAAGAGCTAGTTCCAGGACAGGCTCCAAAGCTACAGAGAAACCCTGTCTCGAAAAAAAACAACAACAACAAAAACCCAGGATTTCAAAGACCCACCTCACTCTTCATCACAAAACCAGGGTCCCCAAAGCCTGCTCCTTCTAGTGTTAGCTCTTTCCATTTCCCATACAAAGTACCTGTAGGAGAGCTGGAAGAAACAGAAGGATCAGAAGCTCAAAGCCAACCTGTCTCAAAAAAAGGCAGCATCTCTATAAAACTGTGGCCTAGGGAACTGGGGTGTCTGCCAGCCCTGGGCACGTTCAAGTCAGGCTCTAGACATTACGCCCCAAGGGTGGCAGAGTGGAAGGAAGGTAAGGCTAAGAGCATGGTGTGGGGGAGTCAAGGAGCCAGCTGGGGTCCTGAAACAGAGACGGAACAAAATGTTCCCAGCCCCACTCTGCTTTGGGGATGAGCTCAGGTTCCTTCCCTTGGGGAATGAGGAGGCTGGTGGAAGCTGATCTCTCAAGCATACAGGAGGCAGTCTTTGTCCTTTGTCACACTGGTGACCTGTCTCAGATGTCCATCCTGGCCTCACCAACTCAGTCATCTCAGCGAGTCTCTCGACCCTCCAAGCCATAGTGAGCTCCTACACTGTGGCCCGTCCCAACATGGAGGTGACGGATGGGTGTGGAATCTCAGACAGAACTGTTCTGAACGCCACCGGACCAGGGTCGCCATGATTCACTTTTGTTTGGTGCACACAACCTACCACCTGCACTGCTGGCTGCCGAGGTCGCATCGGCTCAGGCTGTAAGTGTTCCTCCCCAGCACACTGCGTCAAAAGGATCATTGCTTCCTGGGGTCGTCTTCAAGTTTAACTAAAATTTACTTGTAATTCACCCATCTTTTGAGTTTTAAAGACACCGTGGTGGAAACGTTAATGTAACACCTTGGAAAACATTAACTCACAACTACAGCTGTTTCAAAGAGCACCGTGACTGGGCTGGGCTCTCCTCCTCCCACTTCCGGATGCTCAGTCTGAAGCCATGTTTGCCCACTGTTAAAGGACCTGCCCAGCCACACCATCCTCTAACAGGACGTTGTTTCTTTCAAACTAGTAACCTGAAGCATGATCCCATGTCTCGTTCTGACGCTGCTGCTGCTGCAGCTGTTTTAAGCAGTGTAGATTTTGAAGGTATCTACTGAGCACCTTCACCTGAAGGTGCAATAATTGTTTTCTATGAACATCCGAAAGTCATTCGGCCCTACAGCTACAGTGGAAATGGGGGAGGGGTCGGACTACTATGTAAAAACCAGCGTTTGCAGCAGCTAGCCCTGATTCCCATCTGGTCTGCAGGTTGTGGCAAGCAGGCTACCTGGGTCTGTCAGTCACTGACACCAGCAGGAGGCAAGGCTGTC